ATAAATCAGGGAATTGGGATAGGTAAGGGGTTTTGGAAATGGTTGGTCATAGAAACTAAGCCCAATATGTAAAATTACTCAGAAAAAAAGATGTAGGAGGGAAGAACGTGGGCTACAATCATGTGTATATCCTTTTGATCACCCCATAGGACTCATCTGAAACCCAGGCCTGCAGGAACCCATGCATGAAGAACTTGAGTCTAAGGCTTTTGGAATTCTCTGAATCATGGTGAATAAATGGGATAGAGAAGGGGCCTTAGTCTTAACTGTGGCAGATTCAAGAACAACAGGAATCTGTCCAGTCCAAAGGCACCTGTGTATTCTTGTTTCCTTGAGGAGATACACTTGCCACATATCTTGAGATCTGTTTTTATACCCCTGTGGTTTCCTGACTGCTTTAAGATTGTTTGATATGCTAACTTCTTAGTCCTTAGATGGGCAAGGTTTGGAAGCTTTGTTTCACCCAGCATGAGTAAGGACAGAAGCTTCCTGAGGGAAGCAGATTTGAGGAAGTAAAACAAGTTGTGGGATTTTCTTTGGTGCGCAACCAAGGATGCACTTATTTTAACTTGTATTACTTACGTCTACATATTTATGGACACAGGAGAGCCCTGTTATCAGCCACTCGTGGAAGAATCCATGAGTGGGAACATATTCTTTTAGTAATAGATGAAATCATGAAAGTATGTTTTGGATTTCTCCCCAGAAGTAGACCTAGGGTATTATTACCTTTGTTTCTTCTGATATATTCAGATTAGGTTGTGTTTCATGTAATCAGGGAGGAAATTCAAAATGATTCCTTGTGCTTTGAATACAAATGGGTGAAGACCTGGATATTAATTATCTAAAAAAGTGACCCCTGGGCACCCCGACCATAGTTAGGGTCAGTGTGAGTGACTGTGGCTTATATCTACTTCAGTGGAGTGGCTTGGCCAATAAGCAATGTGAAATGGTGGGAGAACTCAGAAGTTAGTAGGAAAGCTTGGGTTATAATCCTGTTTTAGACGTACTGTGGAACTTGGGGTTCTTTTATCTAAAGGAGTATGCTTCAAAATTAACTCCAGCTAGCTGAAAAATTTGAACTTAGGTGGTACTTAATATTGTCCTTTTGTTTGTTAGAAATGTCTGTAAAAATGACAGATTTTGTTTGAGAAGGGTCTGTTCAGAATGCTGTAGTTTGCTTTACGCTTTTGTTTGCGAACAGTCTCAGCATAGTCAGGGAAAGATAGGAACCATCTCTTTGCTGTGAGTCATTGTTGAGCTCTTTTATGTGGAGAATGGCTTATGTTTTCATCTTTAGCCCTCCTCCATCATAGTCTGCCATTGCATTGCTGGTGTTTTAATCCACTAAGCCTAAGTAAATGTCCTGAAATCCTGCCTGCCAGCCAGTTTATTTCTGTATTGGTAATGTCTGTGATAAATAAGCTTTTCTTTCTTTTTTTTTTTTTTTTAATGCTCAGGAGTAAAGGGTTAGTAGGTAATTTCCAGTTGTTTATCGCTGTGGGACTTAGATTTTGGCATGTGTGTGCATCATAATCACCTGGAGGACTTGTTAAAACACATTATGTACTTGTTAACCCCATAGTCTCAGTTTCTCATGCAGCCTGTGTGAGGTGGAGCTGGTAACTTGCGTTTCTGACTAGTTTGCAGGGTTTCCCAGGCTACTGGTTATACTTTGAGAAGCACTGGTCTACTATAAGCTGGGTACCCTGTGAGGAATAAACTGATACGAGATCTGGTGTCTGGCCTTGAAGAGTCTTTCTTCAATGTATGATCCATATATATATATAAAGGCAGAACTAACTGGGAAGCTGAAAGCTAGGTGCAAACTGATCTTAAAAGTTAAAAGCAGGGGAAATTTGCCAGTAGCTGGGTAGCCAGGAACCTTTTGTTGAACTATTTTGCTCACTTGATCTGACCACCAATGAGTGCATATTCTAGACAAGGAAAGCACTTTGACAAAGATGTAGAGATGGAGTTGGGGATGTAGCTCAATGATGGAGTACTTGAATGGCATGTGGAAGGTCCTGTGTTCACACCCAAGCACTGGTTTTAAAAATATAGTGGAAATGGAAGTATTATAGACAGTTTCAGTGTGTAGCAAGTAGTAAGTTGTTTAGAGTCGGTATTTGATGCTGGTAAAGAGAAATAGACATAAAATAATTTGGTTCAGAATCTACCAGACTTTGAATACTAGAAAAGACAGGTGTTTACACTTAGTAGAGGGGACTTGACATTGACAAAGCCTTGTTTTTAGGACTGGAGGAAAAGTGGTATGGGAAGAGAGTGTACAAGAATAGGGTAAAAGCCAGGTATATGCTTGTTACTCCCAGCTACTTGGGAGATTAAGGCAAGAAGAACCCTTGAGCCCAGGAGTATTTTTTTTTTTTTTTTTTTAGGAGAGGGTGATAGGTGGTGAGGGAGGTTCCCCCCATTTCATGTATTTGTTTTTTTTTTTTTTTTTTATTTTTTTTTAAACATTTTTTTTTAAGTTTATTTATTTATTTATTTAGAGTGTGTGTGTGTGGCCAGCTCAGCCCACCAGGGGGCGGGGCTGGCTGGCATGTGGTGCTGGGGGATTGAACCGCGGTCCCTGCGTTTTGCTAAGCTTGTTCTAAGTAGGTGCTTTAGACCACTGAGCCATCTCCCCAGCCCCATTTCATGTATTTGGCACAGGGTCTCACTATGCAACTTGGGCTAATAGTGATCCTCCTGTTTTCAGCCTCTCCAGTGCTGGGATCACAGGGGTATGCCACCATGCCCAGACTTGGTCAATGGCCCAGCGTGCCCCAGAGGTGGGGCTGGTGGGGCATGCGGGACTGGGATTGAACCCTGGTCCCCGTGCTTGCCAAAGCAAGTGCTTTGGTCCACTGAGGTACCTTGCTGGCCTTTTTTCTTTTTTCTTTTTCTTTTTTTTTTTTTTTTTTTTTTTCTTTTTAGCATAGAAGTTCTGTAAGAAGTGGCTGGGACCTTACGTTTCTCTCCCTTACAAAAGGGGAAAAAAAAAGAGTGAAAAGAAAAAGAGGCAGGTATGGTGGCTCACACTTTTGATCTTTGTACTTGGGAAACTGAGACAGTAGTATCCCTGCTAGTTCAAGTCCAGGCTGGGATACATAGTAAGATCCTGTCAGATAGATAGATAGATAGATAGATAGTAAGATCCTGTCAGATAGATAGATAGATAGACAGACAGACAGACAAATAGATACCACAGGGAGTCTTAACTTCCTTGTTGTATCCTTCTGCTCTCATCTTTCAGGCATTTTTTTTAGGTGGATAATTGGTTCTGAAAACTGAGCTATGTTTACCAGTGGTAAGCCATTACATGATTATCAGTGTGGTTCATTAGTAATCTTTTTTTTGGCAGAACCGGGGATTGAACTCAGGCCCTTGCACTTGCCAGGGAAGCGCTTATTCCACTGAGCCATCTCCCTGTCCCTATGTTAGTAATCTTGACAGGATTGTGATTCTTTTTTTAAGGTTCTTGGGACAAAACAAAACAAAACAAAACAAAACAAAAAGCACAAATTAGTTTTAAATTGGAACTGTTTGAAAGCTTTGGTTTGGGTGCCATGAATGAAATCTTTTGTGATTAGAGGATTATTTGGGGAGATAAGATTATTTGGGGGATGAGTGTAGCGCAGTGGTAGAGTTCCGATTTAGCATGAGTGAGGCTCTGGGCTAAATCTCCAGCATCAAAAAAAGAAGGAGTGGGGACTATTTAGGATTCTAGCTTCTGTTTTTTGAGCAGGGTGTAATGATCCTTACTGAATAATTTCTTCTGGTAGGGAAACAACTGATAATACGGCAGGCAGCATTTAATATTTTTGGTGACCTTTATCTTAAAATATTAAACATCATTCATAATAGTTTTGAGGTTAATGGAACTTCAGAAAATATCTTTACTAGAACTTTTAAAGTTTAAAATGTGTTATTCCTCTCACCAGGTGCAGTGGTATATTTTGTAATCCCAGCACCCACAGAGGCTGAGGCAGGAGAATCACAAACTCAAGTTCAGTCTGGGCAATTTAGCAAATTTAGTGAAACCCTGTTTAAGAAAAAGAAAAAGGCCACAATAGGAGTTATTTTCTTTTCCTTATTTCTGATAAAACTTTAAAAAAAAAAAGATATTACTGTTCTCAATTTCTGAAAAGATTACATATGAAAAGTGATTGGCCAAGGAAGAAAGAAATAAGCGTGCACTTTCTCACCCCCCCTCACCCCCTTTTTGGAGACAGGGTCTTGCTATGTAGTTCAGGCTGACCTTGAACTCATCATGTAGCCCAGGTTGGCCCTAAATTGACGGTGATGTTCCTGCCTCAGCCTTCTGACTGCTGGGATTACAGGTGTGTACCACTGCGCCCAGCTTTTTGTTCTTGATATTTGAGACAGGGTCTTACTTTGTACTCTAGCCTGTTCTTCCACTGTGCAGCTCAGGGTGGCCTTGAACTTTTAGCAAGTCCTCCTGTTTCAGCCTTCCCAGTACTTGGATTATAGGTTTGTGCTACCAGGCCCAAATTTTTCTTAATTATTATTATTATTTAATTTTTTTACAATATGGTGCTTTGATCTTGACCTAAATTAAGTGTAGATTATTTTTATTTTAATGTTGTATCATAAAAAGAAGTTTTGTGGATGAATTTTTGAGTTATATAGATAAAAAGCAAACTGTCATCTTGACTAAGTTAAAGCACACATACTGTTGCCTTGAGCATAAGATGACCAAATTTGATTTTTTGAGGGTGGTGGTGGTGTCTAATGTCAGACTCAGAACCTCATACATGCTGGGCAGATGCTGTGCTGCTTGGCTACACAGCCTCAGCCCTGAGTATGTTTCTTAAGACAATTTTTTAAACATATATATATATATATATATATATATATATATATATATATATATGAATATTATGTGGTTGGATCTCCCTTGTCTTTATACTTTGAAAAGTTGCTGGTTTCATGAAAGTATGAGTTAAAAATCATGATATCTTCTTGAATTTTAGGTACTTACACTGTGAAATTTTATGATGGAGTAGTTCAGACTGTCAAACATATTCATATCAAAGCTTTTTCCAAAGATCAGGTGAGAAATGTGGTTTTGTGCTTTGTGTTATGGATAATGCTAATATTGTACTTTTTTTTTTTTTGCCTTGAAGAAAGACATTACATTCATGATGGAAAAACTCTTTATTTCCAGCATATGACAGTTTGACTAGGAAGTAATACAAAACTTTCAGAAGTTATAAGTATTTGTCTCCTTTTATCATTTCCTTTAAATTTGTCTCCTTTTATCATTTTTTAAAAAATGCTGTGTACTTGGATAGTATTGTGTGTTATCTGCTTTCCTCATCTTTCCTGAAAAGTGTATGGTTACTATTCTTTGTTTTTCTCCTTGGACCTGTCCCTGAGCTGTTACCAATCACAAGGAATTTGATATATTGATACATATTTGGTACAGGGTCTCACTACGCAGCTTGGGCTTGTTTGTAGTGGTCCTCCTGTTTTCAGCCTCCCCAGCGCTGGGAATACAGGCGTGCACCACCATGCCTGGACTTGGTGGCAGGCTCAGTGTGCCCGGGGATGGGGCTGGCATGGCATGTGGTTACGGGGATTGAACGCTGGTCCCTGTGCTTGCTAAAGCAAGCACTTGGTCCACTGAGCTATCTTGCCTGCCCTTATAGAGAATTTGTTGTAATAGTGGAGAAGACTTAGAACACATTTTCTCCTCATGACCATGACTTAGTGGTATGCAGACCTACTTTGCCATGGATTTTGCATCCATTTATACTAGATATACCTGGTGTGAGAATCTTGTGTGGCTTTATTTCCTGTTCACCTTGTAAGCAAGCACTGTCCATCCAGATCCGAATTGTCTATAATTATTACATACTTTCCTCCTGACTTTTTTCCTTTAGTCGTTTTTTTTTTTCGTTTTGTTTTATTTTGGCGGGCTTAGCCCTCCCTGAGGCGGGGCTGGCGAGGCATGTGGTGCAAGGATCAAACCTCTTAAGCTTGCCTAAGCAAGCCCTTTAGACCACTGAGCTATCTCGCTGGCCCCATCCTTTAGTCTTTTTCTCATATTTAATGAAATAGTTAAAGAAAAAGTAGAGATCAAAATTTAGATATTAATATTTTTAAAACTTTGGTTTTTTAAAAAATGTGTTTAGTACAGAGTCTACAGGGTCTAGCTACGCAGATCGGACTCATAGTGATCCTCCTGTTTTCAGCTTCTCAAGTGCTAGGATTACAGGCATGCACAACCATGCCCAGTCTCATTTGTCTGTCTTAGTACACCGTGGGGTGGGGCTGGCCACTGCACACGGGGATCGATCCAGTCCCTGTGTCTTATTAAGCAGGTGCTTTAATCTGCTGAGCTATCTGGCCAGCCCTAGCTGTTGAGACAAATTAATAACAAGTTTTATTAAAGCAAGTTAATAAAAGATTTTCTCCCCAGTTGTAGGAGCACATGTCTATAATCCCAGTGCTTAGAAAGCTGAGGCAGGAGGATCACTGAGAGTTCAAAGCCAGCCTGAATTAGAGGGAGAACTTGTCTCAAAAATCTAAAAAATAAAATAATAGTTTTGTTACTTAGATGTCATAACTTGGACTTGCCTTTGGATGGTGGATGATGATTGATGGGGACAGTCTAGTGATTTTTTTTTTTAAATTTTATTTATTTATTTATTTATTTATTTGTGTGTGTGTGTGTGGCCAGCTCAGCCCAGCAGGGGGCGGGCTGGCTGGCATGTGGTGCTGGGGGATTGAACCATGGTCCCTGTGCTTTGCTAAGCTTGTTCTAAGTAGGTGCTTTAGACCACTGAGCCATCTCACCAGCCCAGTCTAGTGATTTTTGATTTTTTTTTTTTTGCGGAACCAGGGATTGAACTCAGGACCTTGTGCTTGCCAGGGAAGCGCTTATTCCATCTCTCTGGCCCCAGTCTAGTGAGTTTGTAACTTGTTATGTAACCTGTAATGATTGAATACCTCTTCTACTCATCACAGATTTTCATAAATTCTTCTGTACATATATTGAAAATTGAGATATACCTTTAAAGGTAGCCTCAGGAATGTTCTTGTTCTTTGTTGGTTTTCCTCTTCAGAAAATTTATAAAATTGCAAAGCTTTAGACCTGATTATACTTTTTTTCTGTTTGTCTCTCAGGCATATAGGGAGATACACTGCACGAGGTTATTTTGGACTCAAATTTGGCATTTTTGTTTTGCATTTATCAAATTTGTCCAAAACTAGCAAATTCAAACCTTTTCATATAGAAAGCCAGAGTCCCAGAGAAGGTCAATAAATTGATAGCACTCATGGTACTTTGGCTAGGAGTGGGTACCTTACTAGTCGAGGATTTGTGGGCGCCTCACTTCTTAGTTCCCAGTGGCTTGTCTCACCTTATCTTATTTCTGGCAGCTTGTGAAGCACAGACCAGGGTCTGTTGGCACTTTTTTTTTAATTGATGCGGTCTGAGCCTTCACATTGAGCTAAATCCTTCTTTTACTTTTTTTGAAACAGAGTTCTCCTTAGTTGCCCTAGCTTAATTGTCCAGGCTGGCACCAACCTGTGACCCTCTTGCTTAAACCTCCCCTAGTTTTTGGACTATAGAGATTCACCGCCATCGCTGGCTTAGACTTGTTTTTTTCAAGAGAGTATTGGGCGTAGTGATGCACCTTTGGAAGGCTGAGGCAGGAGAATCCTTGCAAGTTCCAGTTTGAGACCAACCTGGGCTACAAAGTGAGCTTGTCAAGGACATAATGAGCTGATAGCAAGGCCCTGTCTCACAAAGACATCAAATAAATAAATAAAGTGAGAGAGAGAGAGAGAGAGAGAGAGAGAGAGAGAGAGAGAGAGAGGAAGTGTGTGCAAGAATTAGAATATCTTGAAGTTTTTCCTATAGAATCACTTTATTGTAAATGTTTTGATAATCTGTACTTCAGTAACAGTTATTTTTGGACTAAAAAATACTATGTTTGCTGTAGGAAACTGAAAAGTGCTAAAATGACAAAATAAGGATTATGTAATCCTGTTATCAGGGGGGCCTGGCCCTAGCTCAGTCCTTTAAGTGGCTGCTTCCACAAAGCTGTCAGCCTCAGGTTGCTGGAGTTCGAACCTCACAACTCTCCTGCTGGCCAAAAGTGCCCTGAAGGCATTCGAGGAACCAAAAAAAAAAAAAAAAAAAAAAAAAAAATCCTGTAATCCTGTTATCCATCCTGGGCGTGGTGGCATATACCTGTAGTCCCAGCCCCCAGGAAGCTGAGGCAGGAGGATTGTTTGGAATTTGAGATCAGCCTGGGCTGCTAAGTGAGCTCAAGGCCAGCCTCAACTACATGGAAGGACCCTGTCTCCAAAAAAAAAAAAAAAAAAATAAAAATAAAAAGTATTATCTAGTGTAATTGTACTTAATATTTTGGTGAATATCTTTCTGTATTTTTTGTGTGGGTGTACATATTTGCATTCCAAAGTTGTAGTCATGTGGTATATTACTGTTCTAGAACCTTTTCTCTTCAGAAAATATTTTCCCAAGTTCTTAGTATTCCCAGAATGACTTTTAATAATCATGTAATTTCTGTAATATGTATATAACCACCCTTACATTTGTAAATATAGAGTAAAAGTTTGGTCATTCTCTACAAATTCCGTTACTAAGAATTCTAGTTCTGAGGTATCTTTTTTTTGAGACAAGGCCTCACTATATAACCTAGGCTGGCCTCAAACTCTTAGTGGTCCTCCTGCATCTGACTCCTGAGTGTTGGGATTACCGGCAAAACTATAAACTTTTAAGTCTTGAATTGCCAATATACTCCCTTCTGGAAGGGAACAGCAAGATTGATTGATTCATTGATTGGAAGTACTGGAGACTGAACTTGGGGCCTGGGGCCTTCATACTGAACTATAATTCCAAGTACCCCCACCTTTCTTTTTTTTTGAGATAGTGTATGCTAAATTGTCCAGGCTGGGCTCAAATGTTTGCTCCTCTGTCCCTTCTCTCCTGACTGCTAGGATTATAGGTGTGTGCTGCCACACCTAACTGCAGTTTATATTTCTGCCAGTAACTTCTGAGAGTGTCCTTTTTAAAAAAGTAATTTTTGTGGACTAGGAAGATAGCTCAGCTGCATGAGCACCTTCCTCATAAGCACAAGGTCTGGAGTTCTGTCCATGGCAAAAACAAACAAAATAATAACTTTTGTGACTTCAGAAAATGTATTTTTGCTTATTATTTTTCCCTATGGGATAAATTAAGCTTCTATTTTCTTTTTTTTTTTTAACCTCCCCTCAGGCTTCTATTTTCTTACTTTTTTTTTTTTTTTGGTGGAACTAGGGATTGAACTCAGGCCCTTGTGCTTGCCAGGCAATTGCTTATTCTACTGAGCTATCTCCCTGGCCCCTATTTTCTTTTTTTTCCCAAATTTTATTAATAAACAGCAATGAGACAGTTTCAAATCAAATCGGAAGTACGGTTTCAACAAATAACACAATAGGGCCGGGGAGATGGCTCAGTGGAATAAATGCATCCCTGGCAGGTGCAAGGGCCTGAGTTCAATCCCCAGTTGTGCAAAAAAAAAAAAAAACAAAAAAAAACACAATAAAATTTTGGAAAAAAAAACCAACAAATAACACACTGCATATATTCTTCTTAGTGGTTAATTGCTGTACAAGATGTGGACTTGAGATCCTATTTACAAACACCATTAGAACAAATCATTCTATTCATTAAGAGAATGCAACTATATATCTATCCTAACCATTTTGAATACACAGATACAACATGGACATTCATCTGTATACCCTATTTTTTCTAAGTTCCATTATTGAATATTATAGGTGTGTAAACTCAGCAAAATATTCTAAAAGAGTCCAGTAGCCCATAATAGTATTGGGTCTTCTGTTTAACTGGCAATGTCAGAAATTATTGACCTGAGTCCCCCACAGCTCAACATAACAGCATGGCTATTACATCCTATATTTCGTCTTCATACTTTTCTACTGGATGGATAAGACCAAGGTAAAGCAGGACCTGTGCAATAAGAGTTGTAGCTTTTTGGTCTGAGAAGGTCAGTGAAATTTATCCTGAAATCCTGTACCTCAGATTGTAGAACCTTTATCAGTGCAGCCATGTGGATGAGTCACGGCCATTGCTTGGCCAATGTGCTCTCTGTGAAAGCCTGAGAGAGTGTTTTCTCCCCATGTGACTCTCCCTATTTTCTTAATATTTAGGTACTCCTTCCTGCTTCTAGGAACAACCTATGTGCTTGATGTATGCTAGCTTCTGGGGATCTGATGTAAACATGGTCCTTGCTTTATCTTATATCTTTGAAGAGGGATGTATACACAAATAAACTTCATAGTGGTTTTAGAAATTCCAGAGCTTTCAAAGCTGGCTTATTCTTATGACATAGTTGTACCAGTATGCAAGATATTTTAAAATAATTCAGAAACATAGTAACCAACAAATAGTACTTCCTTTCGATGAACAAAAATCAAGAGTACCTCAGGAATTTTGTATTGAGCACAGCCTTTACCTGTGGTTCTTGGTTAGGCAATTTTTATTTATATATATATATATATATATTTTTTTTTTTTTTTCCTTTATAGACAGGGTCTTACTATGTAATCCAGGCAGGCCTTGAACTTGAGATCCAACTACATCAATCTCGTGAGTGCTGTGATTACAGATGGGATAGGCAATCTTAGTAGTTTTCCTATTCAACCTCCATTTACCACTTTAGATTTTTTCTGTACACAAAAACTGGGCATCAGCATTCACTGGACAGCTGAGTTAGGCTTTTGAAAAGCCCTTGGTCAGTAGAGTCAAGCTAAATTAAGCCAAGGGAATCATACACTTTCTTAGAACATCTCTGTCAGAAAGAGTGCTTTCAGTAAAGGATCTTGGGTAGGTGTCCTTTTAACTGTTCTCTAATGATTTGTTCATCATCATGAGAGGGATTGCTCTATCTCAGAAAAAATTAAACATGGCAGTTGTTTTCTTTCATTTTAGGATTGGTTCTCAAACCTCAGTACAGGAGGATATTTTTGGTGGTGTTTTCTGTTATGTGACTTGGCACATGTTCTCTTATTTTCTTCGTTTATTTCCATAAATTTGCAAAGTGCCTCCTAATTTTGTATCTGCAAGTAATCACAAAGTTTGTTTCATTGCTGTTTTGCTCATTTTAGAATATTGTGGGTAATGCTAGGCCTAAAGAAACAGATCACAAAACTCTTTCATCATCTCCTGATAAACGAGAGAAGTTTAAAGAGCAGCGAAAAGCCACAGTCAATGTGAAGAAAGACAAAGAAGATAAAGCCTTAAAGACAGAAAAGAGACCCAAGCAGCCTGACAAAGAAGGAAAGTTAATCTGTTCTGAAAAAGGAAAGGTGTCTGAGAAAAACCTTCCCAAGAACGAGAAGGAAGATAAGGAGAACATTTCAGAGAATGACAGGGAGTACTCTGGAGACACTCAAGTGGACAAGAAACCAGAAAATGACATTGTGAAGAGCCCTCAAGAGAACTTGAGGGAGCCAAAAAGAAAACGAGGCAGACCCCCTTCCATAGCTCCTACTGGTGAGTTTGTCAAGTGGGCTCTGCAGTGAGCAGTGCCAGGGCAGTGTTTTGTGTTCTTTTGCAGTGCTTTGTGTCTTCTGTCTTTTATACTTTAGTCTTCTGTGTTTGTGATTTTGTCTTATGAAATCAAAGCAATTTTAGTAGAGGGATGGATCCACATGAGCACGTTGGGATCATCAGAGCTGGTGGTTAACTATCCCCAGGCACTTCATCTTACAGGGCAGTGCCCAGTGAGCTCAGGCCTTCTGTTTATGCCTGTTCAGGTGACCTCACTTTAAGGAAGCCTGAAGTAGGAAGCAGAGAACCTGGGACAGGAAGTAAAGTTTTAATGAGACAGGGTATAATGGAGGAAAGAAAGTAGTTGTAGGCAAGGTACTAATAGTTGTTGCCTAGTGGTAAGAGTATGCACTAAACGTGTGAAGTCTTGGTTTCAATCCCCAGAACCCAAAGGAAGAACCAAAAGATGCGGTCACCAGAAAGCAGCACCAGAATCCTGCAGCTAGGGGAGCATGGGTGCATTTTGAAATAGAGCTTTCTCGGTAGCTGTGATAGTACACACCTGTAATCTTGGCACTTTGGGAGTCTGTGGCAGGTGATGGCAAGTTCAAGCGCCACCTGGGCAGTTTAGGGAGTTGGCAAGACCCTGTTTCAACATTAAACAAAAAAATTTAAAAGGGGTGGAGTTTGAGGCCTTCTTGGCCTACCCATAGTCAATTTAAGGCTAGCCTGAACTAAAATGTGAGATACCCGTCTTAAAATTTAAAAAAAAAATTGTGTATTGGCCTGTTGTTCTCTGATGATACATAGTGCAGAGCCAGTCCTCCTCAAACTAGTGTTACATCAGACTGAATTTATGTGGGAAAAAATCTTTTAATAACTTTAATATATTTAGTTACTATTTTTCAGTATTATGGATCAAGCCCAGTGCCTCACGTGTGCTTGGCAAAAGCACTCTACCAAGGGCTGGGGAGATGGCTCAGTGGCATAAATGCCTGCCTGGCTAGCGCGAGGTCCTGAGTTCAATCCCCGGTACCACAAAAACAAAGAAACCACACAAACAATAACAAAAGCACTCTACCAGTGCCTACATCTCCAGACCCAATTTACTTCAAACAAAACTGTTTAATATTTCATCCTCATAAATAGCCTTCTCACATCTGAATTATAATTTTAAGGGAAAATAGCAGATTGATTTGTCTCCAAGTGAAATCAGGAACTTTCTCTTTCAGTGTTGTACCTCAGTGCTCAGTGATTTGCCCTCTGGAGCTGAGCATACTCAACTTTCCCGAGGCATAAATAAGTCCTAGAGGCTGGGGGAATAGCTCAGAGGTATAAGCACCTACCTGGCAAGTGCAAGGTCCTGAGTTCTTTCCCAGCCCCACATGTTATGGCGCCCCCGCCCCCCAACCCTGAGCATACTCTGGAATTTGGTGTGGTGGCACACACCTGTAATCCCAACACTTGGGAGGTTGAGACAGGAGGGTTGCTGTGAGTTCAGGAATGGCCTGGGAGCTACAAAAGTGAACACAAGGCCAGCTAGAACTATATAGCAAGACCCTGTCTCAAAAAACAAAAAAGTCCTAGATTGTTGCTAACATAGCAGCTGCTACCCATGGCTATAGAGTACTTGAAATTAGCATGTCTGAATTGAGAAGCGCTATAAGTGTAAAACATTTGTATTTCAGATAGTTCATACAAAAGAGAGAGAGAGAGAGAGAGAGAGAGACAGAGAGAGAGACAGAGAGAGTGAGAGAGAGAGGATCATCCCCCCTTCCCCATTTCCTGTGCTGGAGATTGAACATGGGGCCTTGTGCATGTTAGGTATTCTGTCACTGAACTATATATACCTCCATCCCCCAATAAGTTTTTAATGGTGAATACATGTTCAGATGTTTTTAGATGTAGTCATCATAGTAAGTAGTGTATGTAAGACCTGAGTGTTTTGAAAATGATTCCTCTTCAGCTGTTTATCCTCTGGATTATACCCTGTGGAAGGGTATGCTGAGTAGTGGTCCCCTAGTGTATAGACTACTGCTATGATGTCACATGACTTCACACAGATGAGAAAACAAGCATTCACTTCATTTTATAAATGTCAGATGGGATTTAATAAAGGGTGTTCCCCCCTTTTTTTTTGGTTTACTTTTTGTTGTTGTTGTTTTTTGGTGGAACCGGGGATTGAACTCAGGTGCTTGTGCTTGCCAGGGAAGCGCTTATTCCACTGAGCCATCTCCCTGGCCCCTTTTTACTCTTAAAGAGAAAAAACAGAACAAAACATGGTAATAGAAGGATAACAGTGGTTAATACATTGTTTTAAGTTAGTTACTCGAAGTATAAAATATTGGCCTTGAACTGTCCAGACAATATTAGCACCAACTTCACTGTTAAGGATTCTTTTTCTTTTCTTTTTTTTTTTTTTTTTTTTTTTGCGGGCTCAAGCTGCCTTTAAGGGCGTGTCTGGTGTGGCATGTGGTGCTGGGGATGGAACCATGCACCTAACAGGGTTTGCTTAAGCAGGCATGTTAGACAACTGAACTACCCTGCAAGTCCCGACCAACTTTACTGTTAATGCTTCCTTGCCTGAAGAATTTGTCAGAATCATTCTGTACCTCAGTTCTCCCCAAAATTTCTGCATTTGGACTGGGAAATGCAAATTACTGACAATCTTTCCAGAAAAAAATTTGAGAAACACTCAAGTTCTGTGCAGTCAGTCCTCATTTGTGTATCTTATCAAAAGGAGGAAGCCTTGCCAGATGTCTCATACATAGTTGAACTGTCCTTTAAAAACATTGCTTGGAAGAAGTTCAGTGATGTAGGGCCGTGAGTTCCCTGACCTGGCTGGGAACAGAATCTGAACTATGTAGAGAGGGTTGTTTGTGTTTGTGTTTAGCTTGTTGTGTGTGTGATCCAAGTTCCCACAACTTGGAACCGAATAGTGGTGGCATGTTGGGAAGACTGACTACAGAAAGAGCCAAGAGTGAGGGTGGCCTCCTTGGAGTTTAGCCTTCCCTCTTTTTCAGCCCTTTGAGGGCTGATTTGAAGCTGCTAAAGAGTTTTTTCTCTTGTCTCTCCTCACGTTTTCTTTCCCTTCCCTCATTCACTTCCTTTCCTCCCTGTTTCTTCATTCCTTTATCTTTCCTCAGGCCCCTTATTCCTGATTTCCTGCCTAGCCCCCTGATTTCTTATTCTTAATTCTCTTGCTTGCATGTTGAATTCTTTGTCTCAGATTTGGGGAGAACATCTACAGTTTTAGTCTTAAAAGTAACTCCTCGGGGGCTTATTGCTTAAGCAAACACTCCCCAGGGGCTTATTGTCTGCACTGCTAAATTATGTGAGGTGTGGATCTGCTAGAACCATCAGCCTTGAGATTCTGTGTTTTTTTTTTTTTTTTAAAGTGTGTGTGTAGGTGGTAGTGCTAGAATGGAATTCAGGGCCTTTGCCCTGAGACATCCCAGCACTTTTTAAAAAATTGTGAGACAGGATCTCCCTGAGTTTCTGAATTGTCCAGACTGGGCTTAAGTTTGCCATTTTCCTGCCTCAACCTTTCAGAGTGCTGGAATCACAGGCATGTGCCACTGTGTTTTTGGGATTGTTTTTATTTTTTATTTATTTATTTTTATTTTTTATTGTTTTTTTCCCTGTGTATTTTTTTCCCATAATTTTATTGAGACATATAGCAATGAGACAGTGTCAAATCAAATTGGTAAGACAATTTCAATAATTAACACATTGCATACTCTCTTCCTAGTGGTTATTTGCTGTACAAGATGTGGACATGATATCCTATTTACAAACACTATTAGAACAAATCCCTCTATTGATTAAGAGAATGTAACTATAAATCTATCCTAACCATTTTGAATACACAGATACAAAATGGATGTTCATCTGTATCCTCTTTTTTGTTTAGTTCTGTCATTTGAATATTATAGGTGTGTTAACTCAGCAAAATATTCTAAAAGAGTCCAGTAGTCCATAATAGTATTGGGTCTTCCATGACGGGCAGTGTCAGAAATTGTTGACCTGAGTCCCTTACAGCTCAACATCACACCATGGCTTTACTTCTTATACTTCGTTTTTATACTTTTCTGCTGGATGGTTAAGACCAAGATAAAGCAAGACCTATACAACAAGAGTTGTAGCTTTTGGATCTGATAAGGTCAGTCAAATCTGGGAATGTTTTTAAAGAGAATATAAATGTTGACATTCTTTTTTTGACCCTCAGAACTAAAGCCTTTGATGGCTAATTTAGCAAGTAGAGACTGAAAATGGTAATCAATCCTTACTTCTGTTGGTAACACATTTTAGGATTAGACTGCATGGTGAATTTCCTGAGTCTTGAGTGGATAGAGCAAGTTTTTAGCTGTCTGTTTCCTTTCCTCCATCCCTTCCTTTTTCGTTTGAGTAGGTGAGTTTTAGTGGAATTTGATGGTGATAAAAATGACTTGACTTTTGATTAGGCACTTTTTTCTTTTTTTGGAGGTAGGATCAGGTTCTCAAATTTACTAGGCTGCCTTCAACTCCTGGAGATCCTCCTGATTCAGTCTCCAGAGTGCTGAGATTACAGGCATGTGCCACAATGACTGGCACTTTTTCATATTTTTATACAGGTTGTATTGGGGTGTAATACTTTCACAGAGAGTTTTAGGAGAGGTTCAGTCATAGGAAGGAACTCAGAAAGATTCAGCAGGTCAGTCTGCAAGGTGTCAACATTTCCCAAAGGAAGTACTTTCTCATTCATTTCGTTTTTTTAACCTTAAGAATGCCCCACTCAACTGGGTGTGGTGGCGCGCGCCTGTAATCCCAGCACTTGGGAAGCTGAAAACAGAATCACTATGAGTCCAGTCTATGTAGTGAGACTCTGTAGACCCCATAGACCCTGTCCTAAATTAAAAAAAAAGAATGCCCTTCTTCTAAAATCTTCTTAGATCTACTTTTAGAGTCTAAGGAGGATGCTTCATGTATAATTTAAAATAGAATATAATTTGTATATAAAATCTAAGACTAGATATTAAGACATTACATACTTTTTATGCAAGACTAGGCACTAAGAAATTATATACCTTTTAATGTGGTTTTCTGTATGTTTGTAGCTGTGGATTCAAACTCTCAGACATTACAACCAATAACATTGGAACTGAGAAGACGGAAAATATCAAAGGGAAATAACATTCCATTAAAACGTCCTCGACTTGACAAAAATTCATGTGAGTTTCCAGTTTGTGTATTATGTGGTGGGAATTTGACATTGTATTGGTCAGTCTTCCCTGTCTGTCCTGTCAGCTCTAATGCTTGAGCACATGAGTAGAACATGCTTGAATTAGGAGTTACTAATGTGAGTAGAACATGCTTGAATTAGGAATTACTGCTAGAAGAAACAAAAGCTTTGTGACTTTTGAGCTCAGTGTTATCGTATCCATTTCCACAAACTGTTTGATTTGTATTCCACTGGAAATTCAATGGTTCAGAAAGGGATTATATGCTGAGAGAAACTTAAAAAATGCTATTTATTGATTAAAGAAATGCCTTGCTGGCTTCAAAAAGGATTTGTAAAGGCTCTAAATAAGACTTGTGTAAAATCTAATTGACTTTGGAAGTTAACATACAGACTTCCATGTTGGGAAGCTCCAAAATAGAATTTAGTTGTCAAGATAAAAGACATGTTTTTGTACTGTGAGTCCTCAGTGTTATAAAATTCTGTCCTAGCAGAGTTTGCCTTTACTTAAAACTATCAAGTAGGGGGCCAGGGAGATGGCTCAGTGAAATAAGCGTTTCCCTGGCAAGTGCAAGGGCCTGAGTTCAATCCCTGGTTCTGCAAAAACAAACAAACAAACAAACAAACTATCAAGTAGGAAAGGATATTAATCCAGAAGTCTTTATATAAAATTATTCTTTTTTTTTGGTACTGGGAATTGAACTCAGGACCTTGTGCTTCTCAGGCAAGTGCTTGTGCCACTAAGCTATATTACCAGCCCTATAAAATTCTTATAGAGGTGACTGTCCCAGAAATCTGTAATGGCAGAATTATTTCTATTACTCTCTGGACTACAACTTTCTTTTTTTTTTTTTTTTTAATATT